TATCCCTATCTCTCCCGTCTTCTCTCTATCTTTTATATCGCACTTCTATTGTTGGCCTTCTGGTGGAATATGGCGGCTCTGGATTTTGAGCACTACGTGTCACGTGACTTTTTCTGAGCAATCTTCCTCGATGCGTAGCCGATTGTAAGACCCTGGGCAAGTCTAGAGTCGAGCCGGCGGACAGTATCACCTCCTTCCCCCTCCTGGCAGGACGAGCCTAAGTATGTGGAGCACGCGAAGAGGCCGGAGACCGTCAGTCTGCCAGACCGGAGCTCGCCGCAGCAGCCCGACAGTCGAACACGTTCGCCCGGAGCCAGACCGAAGGCCAGAGGACCGAGTCCGGCAGCGCAGTAAAACACAGCGCACTTTCAGAAATGTAGAACATCATGACAGCCGTTGGGAATCAACTGGAAACTTCTCGCTGGCAGAAGCAGGCTTTATTGCGAAGAAATGATCGAACTGCTTGTGATTTTACGTCTCCAGCTAGTAACATCAGGAAGTTTGATGCAAACATGCTCGGTCATTCACTTCACCGCAGATTCTCGCAGGCGTGCGATTCCACATCAGCAAACACATAGCAGGCGCATTTTATCGAGAAATATATGAAGTGCATGTTATGTTTGGATAAACCAGAAATACAGAATGAATACTTTTCCGTTGCGTCATGGAAAAATCTAGTCACTACGATTGCACCACCATCCACCAAGCGGTTTACTGACTTTGTCTATCCCGCAGTTGCTCCGTAGCTTAATTGCTACATCCGCGCTGAGTAGGACGATTCCTAGGGTTGTCTCGATTTGAATTTTTGTGAGTGTTTTGTCGCCCCCGCTATGTAAAGGTTTGTCCTAAAGCCGGTTTCCCTTCCCCATGCCCTTATACTGCCCTGGAGTATTACGTGAATACAGGCAAGGGTGGACTGTCACAAAGTTGCCTTCTTAGCCTTTTTAGCCGTAAACTACTTCACTGCAGAGAAATGAATACCGTATGATAAATAATGAAAAAAAAAAAACAGCAATTGAAAAATGCCGCCCGCCAAAATGGAGTGGGCCAGATTAGTCCATTTGATGCATGATGACAAAAGAATATTTAAAATTGCTCTTAAACCGAAATAGAGTGGGCTACATCCACTGAAACACTCACGTGGGGGATGGGGGGGGGGTGGGGGGGGGGGGTTAGATCACCGGCTCCATAGCTTGGCCCCAAATATTTTACTCAAATCACCGCCCCTGGCTCCTTTTTGATAACAGCCTAGCTAAGCTTCCAACTTGTTGCGTGAAGCCAGTTAGAGACGTGTGCAACATCTGGGGCGAAGTTCAAAAGCACACTCTGGTGAAGCCTCAAGGCCAGTGCATCTTATGATATTATCGATTGCCACTCTTGTTACCAATAAAGTATAATAAGCTACTAAATGTTATCGTTATCGTATCCACTGATTTACCTTTGTGTTCTTACCCGCCCCCGCCCCCCCCCCCTCCCTCTCAATATAATGTAGCAAGCATTGAAATGTAACAGGACCGCCATGTGGAAAAGCCATCGATCCATACTCGAGACCCAGCCCCGAGTATTCGGAGGGAATCGATCAAAAAACACTGACTGGTAGAAGTCAATGATTTATTTAACCCTGGCTTATCCATTCGCTGCGCCGAAACATGTGGCTTTCAGTGACGGTCGATGTACTGTTCAAGTTTTGTCGGATAAATTTGGAAAACGCGGAGATATAGAGAAATCTGGCGCCGGCAGTAGGGGCCCAAATCAATGACATTTCATAGATCATGAGACTGAACGCAGTGAGAGCCCACTTAATGCGGGTTTTCTGTTTGCGCAGAACCTCTTGGGAAAAGTAAGACGTTTTGAGACTATAACGCATCGTTAAGGCTCAGCAGATAGATTGGACCTACAATCTGGAGAAATCGGCAGCACACTACGTGACCTGGCGACAATAGTCCCCGCGCGCCATCTCCTCCCATCGGCTGATCCCATTGTTCTACGAGAGGCATCCCTGCCTCTAGCCTGACCGCCGGCACCGTCTCCCGACAATGGTCCGACGCGACGGCCGCCCGCGCCGGGACAGGAAGCTCCGCCCACCGGCTGTGACGTCACGCTCGCTGGGGATAAAGCCGCGGCCGCTGCTGGGCAGGGTGCTGGATGTCGCTGGAGGGCACCACGGGAGCTGACGGGGCAGTGAGTGCAGGTCAGTTATATCGCAACTCAGCGCGACCGCATCCCTCCCCGCTTAAATGACTGTTTTGCTGATGGGGAAGCTATCAGGGAAGTTCGGTTTAGTTAATGCTGACAGGAATTTCACGAGCCATTGCCATTGACAGTATGCAATGTCACCGTTTTAACGCCGTTTGTGTAGGTGGGCGTCTCGCTGGCCGCATTACGTGCTGAGTTAACTCTCGCCGGCGCTACGTAAGCTGTTAAGTGTATTTGCGAAGAAAAGACGGTAGTTATAGCCTTTTTCCTCGGAGAAAAACCAGGAGAACGGATAAAGGCATGTTGCCGAATATCAACCTACCTATGTCTCCATCCTCCTGGTTTTGCTCCGAGGAATAAGGCTATTATTACTGTCTGGTCTATGTGAATAATGTTCCTGGTGAATGCACCGGACGACTTACATCCGCGCGAAGATTATTCAAATAGATAAGGCAGAAGTAATTACCCCATTCCTCAGCGAAAAAACAGGAAAATGGAGATGTAGATGTGTTGATATTTCGGCAACATACATTCATCGAAATATGCCTTTTAATGTAACATGCTTTTATGCTTTCCACTTCTGCTATTGTTTCAATAAAGGCACGTTGCCGAAACATCAACCCATATTCTTTGAGCTGAATATCTCCATTTTCCTAATGTTTTTCTCTTGGGAATGAGGCTATTACTAGTGCCTTAGCTCGCCGTGCTGGTTACAGACGGGTGTGTAATGCTTATGCTGGGATGTCCACGGAACCATAATGCTGTCACACACATGCTGCATTGCGACAAGGCGCCGGAAGCCCTCAGAGGATACACCTTTGTGGGATGCGCTATGATCCTGATCGTGTTATGCATTAGCTGGGACGCCCGGCGATGCCCGGATGAAATGGAGAAAGGTGTGCTCCAAGGAAAGGATTGGATACAGTTGGATTTTGTTTCATGGCCGAAATTGCCTCCAAAGAAGGCATTCTGGAGCAATGCAGTCAATAAAATATAAAGAATACAGCGCCACCAGACGGTTAATTTACAGAAAACGAACGTCATCAGCATCAATATCAGTATATTGGAAATCATCCACGTAGTGGCTGTTACGGTTTCATATCAAGGTCATGTTTTAAATATCATACAGGTGGAGTACAGACACACTCAAAAATTATTCGATAAAATGATACGAGTAATAGTGCCATAATTGACACGATCAAAGAGTTAAAATAGACTTACCTATGCCATACGGGCCTGATCAGATCAGTGGCTAGTGGACAGTGGTCAAAATCACATCACGTATGGAGGTCTTAAGCAACTCAGTGCTGTGGCATGTGACTGTGGGTGACTGGTAACTAGTCTGTTCGTCACACAGTAGCTTATGTTACGCAGCGGGTAAATGAACAGGCGTTTTTTTCACCCATCGCTCAGTTTATGTATGTGAAATCTTTTTGTTGCATATTTTAGCTTTCACGCTATGTCTCTTCGAAACTGGCAGATATGCACTTGATTAGTACGCCACTTCCGGTATTTTCGCTGCTCTGATAGGTTTCACATGTCGCGGGATGGATCATCCCCAATGCTAACCCTATTGTTTCTACCGTCTTGACTAACCCGATAAGGCAGGCTTGTTCGTGCCGCACCACGCACGGTGGTCCGATCTATACCACGCGCGGTGGTCCATCTGCACCACGCACGGTGGTCCATCTATACCACGCATGGTGGTCCAATCTGCACCACGTATGGTGATCCGATCTGGACCACGCATGGTGATCGGATTTGCACCTCGCACGGTGGTCCATCTACACCACGCATGGCGGTCCAATCTGCACCATGCATGGTGGTCCAATCTGCACCACCCATGGTGGTCCGATCTGCACCACGCATGGTGGTCCAATCTGCACCACGCACGGTGGTCGGATCTGCACCGATGTGTGGCATAAACCTTCCTCCCGTCCTTGCTGACTCAGAGTACATGAGATTTCGGGGGTCAATCTCCGACGGGCCTTGAGTTATTAGAGGCCAAACGTTCCAACAGTTTCCACACAGTTTTCCGTACTTTATTTTCTGCATTCAGCGTTTAGAGCGTTAAGTTTTTTTACCGTTTTTGACTCGACTGTCAACGTTTCTATCTCAGAATTTACCTAACTTTCAATTTCGGTATTTCGGTTTCTGAACATGAATGTCACAATAAAGTTTACAAGTAGGCAGTGGTCAAAAAAGTTATCCCCTATTAATGTCATGCGTATACACGAATAAAATGTATTTTTCTCTTCATGTGCCTTAAGTTATATATGTATCTAGATGGATATATCAGTCTAATGTGTTTTTCTCTTTATGTACTTTACGTTATATCTGTATACCAGCCTTTCACCAGGACAACGCCGGCAGGTACTTGGCCTGCGCCGCGTCCTGTGACGTCACGCGCCCATCGAGCGGCATCAGGGCTCGGCGGGATGGTCACCTTCGCAGACGGATGCTGCCTTCCGGTTCTGCTGCTCTTCCTGAGCCGGCTGTCGGCAGTCTCGTCATTAGCAGGTGATCACTGATCGAGCGGCGCGGGCGGCCCGACCAAACCTCCCGACGTACGTGTGTGTGTGTGTGTGTGTGTGTGTGTGTGGTGTGTGTGTGTGTGTGTGTGTGTGTGTGTGTGTGTGTGTGTGTGCGCGTGTGTGTGCGTGCGTGTGCGTGTGCATGTGTGTGCGTGTGCGTGTGCATGTGTGTGTGTGTGTGTGTGTGCGTGCACATGGCAACGAGGTCGAACGGCCGACCTGAACCGCCAGACGTGTGTGAACCGCATTTTGACGACCTTTGAAATGCGGCCTATCGCGGGGTTTACACTGCTGCCATTTAAATGAGCCGTCCACTTGTCACACATCAGCTCATATACGCAGCACCCAACGATCCGCTGTAGGTAGTTGTAGGAGAGGGGTTGGACTCGTAATCCAGTCACACGGGTCGTATTCTAACTAGTCCACTTAACTACTTTACTTTAGTCTAGGGGCGAGTGACCTGGCCGGCCCAACCAGCTGGGATCGGTCAGCTGGCAACCGACCAAAGAGGGCTGGTGTGGCGTCATGGTCCTGAACCCGATCGTAATCTTATCATATCGTAGCACTTTGATTGCATGAATTATGACTCTTCGCGGTGCTTCCTAGCTGAAGGAGATCGTAGACAAACTGCCGGACAAGCTTAAAGAGAACGACTGGGCTGTTGCGTCCAGGGTTCGCTCAACAGGGTCTATACTAATAAACACCTCGTCTCCCTTATACTATATGACGTATTGCCAGATAATAAACTATGAATATACCAGATCAATACACTAGAATCCAATATACTAGACTGTAATTCGATGGTGCATCAGCGCGCCTGTAGTTGTGAACAGCCAGCCGAATAAATAAGGTAGCGTTGCGTCAGTGGTGAAAACAAGAAGGGCGGAAGGACCGGGGGCGTAGTTGAGTTGGGGCCTGACCAATGAGAAATGACGAAACCTACCCGAAAAACTTTAACAAACGGTTTACGCTACGGATTTACGCCACTCTTTTGTCATAGTGGGAGGGGGGGGGGGGGGGCTTGAGTCCAGCCTGGGAAGATGGAGACCTCCAAAAGCTGAATAGGAAACTACTTCCTGAGAAGGAATTTTATCGTATCACGGCTGGATACTTTAAGAGATATGTGTCTCAGCAATAATCACTTAAGCGTAGCTTTGCACCATAAGATCTTGTTCACCAAATAGGCAAAAATGCACTGAACCATTGTGAGCAGTGGTTTATAGCTCTGCACCATTAAGGTTAACTTATTTAAGTTATGAACCCTCAAACTTACCGTGTTAGTTAATCTTCTGAAAATGCTCGAGCCTGTAATTCCTCAGCCGTTGCTCTGATCCATCTGAAAATGGCACAGCTGAGATTGGAGTATAAGATAACTCAATGCTAATATTTGGAGCGCAATCAGAAATGAGGAGTGTTTTCCCCTTTTTGCCCGTTTTTTATTTAAAAAACGGGCAAAATTTTAGCCTCTTCACGTGCCCATTTGCCGTGGAATGGACCAGGGCTCCTCCGTGGCTAACATGCATCTGGATGCACCATGTAGAGAGGAGGTGGTGTATCATCGGAATCTGTGGCTCAGCGCGGGCCGTCCATAGCGTATATGGATGACGTCTAACCTTGCAGTTATGCCTGATATTTATATTCCATGGAGAACTGATCAAGCCTGCGCTTTAATGCTCTGCCTACGAGAGTTTCTCGCCTTTGCCCTACGAGGGGAGGGACTCGGATCCCCCTTCGCCGCCCACATGCCTAGAAAAAAGTAAGCTTGCGCGGCAGGGGGAATAACATTGGAAGCGTTTTCCAGAGAAAGGTAGGTGAAAAGCAGTGAATATGACCTTTGACGGGCTCAATTAGGTTCTACGGGCACTCAATAGCCGACTCCTTTTACCCCAACAGGCAATGCGAAAAACGGTGTCGTGAATAGTCCTTGACAAGCTCTATCGCATAGGCACTAATGAGCGGTAACAGATGCAATATATCATATGTCATGCCAGGCCAAAAGGGATGAACTCTGTTGTTGTTGTTGCACTGAGGCGTGCGGCTATAGCAAGACTTAAACAACCTGCATCATGGCCAGAACTGAGATTAAAGGGCCTTTTAAAGCTGTCATACCGGTACTATAAGGTTTCAGTTACAGACTTAACACGCGCTCAGGTGGAGGAGCCAAATTGACCGGCGAAGGTTTTTTCAGAATGGTTTCCGAACGGCGCGGCACAGCCGCGCCAAGTTCTGCATACCGTAGACAATTGACTAGCGGATCGCTTGACATCAAAATTTAGGTGTATCTCGTAAGGTTGCTGACCTATGGCAGGTCAAAGTCAGACCATGGCTTCAGCAAAGGCGATTTCTAAGGAATCGTCTAATCTGATAAATAATTGAGTGTTCAACGAAGCCATACATCTCTTAAATGCTTCCTTAGGCACTACAAATATTGAATGAGCAAATAACGTTGACCCAAGGTCAGGTATGAAGGTCAGACGAGTCACAGCCAACCTGATTTATTTCTCTAGATCTTGCTGTACGGGGTAGTTTGTGGTGCTCATTTCTAATTTATTGACAGCGGGAACGGCATTATACATTTTTCATTGACTTTTTAGAGGTTAGAAAGGGTCATTGACCTAAGATGACCCGAATCGCCATTTTGTTTTATAAACATACTGCCTAACGTAATTTTGTCGCTTACTCAAATGCAAAACTCAGAGCAGTCTTGTATGATGTTAGTCACCATGACCTTCAAAAGGTCAAAAAAGGTCACTGAAGTCAAATGGGCTTTTGACCTTTTGCTTAGAAACAGTTTCCTATGTTCTGGGGGCACTTTGGTGACCAATCTAGAATTTCACCTTGCTTGACCTTATTTGACCTGAGGGTCGTAGCCTGAGAAGTTCAAACTATGACCTAAGTGAGTTCACGTACAGGTAAAGATACCCTGCAAATTTGGTGTCTCTAGCTCTCTTTATTCTTGAGATCTCAAGGGAGTCAAATTGACCTCCACCCGAGCGAAGGGTATCTAGCCGGCCACCCGGGCGCGTGTTAACGGGGTCTTAATCTGGTCGAAAAAGACGAATTCGATCTATGTTGACTTTGAATGATCTGACCTTATGAAGACCGCCAGACTGGCGGCAATGCACTTCAGAGTGGGGAGATGATTGAAAGAACAGCCAAGACAAGGTCTTCAGGATGGACTAGACGGAATGGACGGGATGGGTGGACTTTGACAAAAAATGCGCTATTTGTCATATCTGACTAAGATATAACGACACGCCATCGGCGTTGAGAAAGAGGTCATGGATCATGACCGGTCAACATCGGAAATTTCAAATTTTTGAACATATATCAAAATGATGCAACTTGGGCATCGAAAATTTAGCACCATGCTCAAGATCGTTTGGAAATTATTCCGAAAAAAACTCAAAGAAAGGAGGAATGCTGCCCAATCCTCTCTATAGGAGAAGGACTCACTTCTTGGGGCCTTTTTGTCTGGATCTGGTTAAAAGCTTCCATGATGATTTGTTGTGCGTTTCTTAATCTGGTACAAATTTTAGCTCTATCAAGCAGAGCGACCTCATATTCGTTATCGGCTGTATGGTTTTATGCATCAGACGTCGGCGAAAATGACTCGTTGGTCCCGTCAACTTTCATAGAAATAATCGGCTGAAATTCACCGTGGCTAGTACGTAATTCACAAATGCTAGACGTTTTCCAGTACCAAAAGTAAGCCACACAACGTGCGTTGATCTGTCAAAAATACCATGAGTCTGAAGGAAACATCGAACATCCAGGCCTCACAATTGTGCACGTGGAGTTGCTACCGCCCTTTATCGCGTAAGGTATGGTAAATTATCCACTTCACCAATGCGTGCCCTGATCGCCATCCCATGCTTGTGCTGGACCAGTGCATCTGGCTGGCGTTTGCCATCGGAGGTGGAGCCATTGCCCAAATATCCAACACGGCCCGCCCGATGTACACCACTGATCGTGAAAAACATCATTCTCTTCTGATAGATGAGTAAGTCATCTACTATTCCAAGAAGTTCACAAGTGCATCCAGTTCCTCGTCCTTTGAAATCGGTTCCCGTTTCCAAACGCACTCGGCGTCTACATCACGACTGCTTGCTGATCTTTCGTCTTTGACATTTATTTTAACCATTCTGAAATGCGAAAAGCTCATTCTCGAAGTGACATGACAAATTTTGAAGCCTTTCAACTTTTTCATCAGGTTTTGCTCACTTTTGGACGCTACTCAGGTGAACGCATATGCAGCTAGACAAAAAGTAGGCTGCATAAGTATTGACCGCTTACGAATATATATATTGAAATTATATTATCGTAAGCGGACCTCCTGTTGACCCCCAGACATCGTGGAATTTGTACAAATTCATAGAATTCTGAAACAAAGGTGAGAGATACTCAAACAAAACTCCGTTTTGCTTTTGCGATTTATCAAGGCCTTAGAATATTACCATAGCGGCACTCCCACCACGCCACTGTCTATAAGCTTGATACTCATGTCGATAAGGCATGCGTTGCTGTTCGCTGACCGCCGTAACACAGCTGTGTCGACGTTTCAGCGGACGTCACTCCACACCATCCAGATGCGTTCCGTGCGGGCTTGTCTATCCGAGGCGTCCTTCCGCGCCGACACGGAGATACGAGGTCCACGAAGACACCGACCTACCGCGAAGCCATCACCCCCGTCCCGGAGCTCGATCAACTGGTGACACTTCCCGAAGCGGAGATCGACATTGAGAACTCAGCCCGCGCAATCTCCGCTGGCAACGAGGACTCGTCAGGCGTCCTTCACTCGGAGCCCGCCAATGAAACAGAATACCCCTCAGCGGACCTGCTCCGTAACCTTGCACGAGCTTGGCGAGGTGGCCGCGTCACGCGGTCTGCGACCGTCTCAGCATCGTCGGGTCGGCCGAAGGCCAAGAAAAGCAGGTATCGTTCGTTTGCCGCCCACAGCTCACCGCTGTGGAGCGACGCTGCGGCGGCAACACCGCAGGGGCTGCCGGAGCTGCCGCAGCAACCCAGCGCGCTGGTGCGGCAGCTGCACGCGCTGCCCCGGTGGCCGGACGCGCTGCTGCGCCGCGTGAGCGCGCTGCCGCAACGAGAGACGCGCGCCTCGCCACCCACCTGCGCGCGCCCCCAGCGCCGCCTCGCCGCGCCGGAAGTGGGCGCCTTCCGGTCGGCTGCGGGCGGCGCGGTGGAGAGGCGGGGCATGTTCCGCTCTCAGGCGGCCGCGGGCTCGCCGTTCCTGGCCGACCTCGACCGCATGTCCGCCTGGCTCGGGCTCTCGCGGCGGCCCCTGCGGATGCCGGAAGGCCGGCTGGCAGGCAGGCTGACGCCGTTCAAGAAGACCTCCGGCTCCGCGGTCGGTGCGTTCGTCGTCGACGGCGGCGACACGACCCCGCTCACACCTGACCAGGTCATCCCCTCTGGGCGACAGCTGTACCAGACCGCCGACCACCCTCACGGAACGCTTGGTCAGCCCGCGGAACCAGACCTGACCTTCGAAGGAGACGTGCAGCCGCTCGACGCAGTCAGTCATCCCTTCCCAGCACTTCATGACCCCTACGATGCGGTTGACCGAGAGGCCAAGGCGGAGAAGCGGCGCGTGTACCTGGGGCCGGAGGCGGCCGGCGGCTGGCTGGGGTTCCTCCTGCGCCACTGGGACGGCGACGTCAGGCAGGAGCGCTCTCGGCAGCTGCTGCACCCTGCTGGCGACCGGCCGGACTGGCGACAGGCGGCGCACGAGTCGCCGGCCCCGGCGCTTAGCTAGGGTCAGCTGACGAGGGAGGTCGGGGTCATGGTGAGTACGGGTCGGCTGGTCCCACGCTGATCATGGTCAGGGCACCGGGTTGGGTCCTACGCTGAGACTATATCACGAGAGATCTGGTGGCAGCCGTTGGTAGACTGCTCCGTGCGTTTAAGAAGAATATGCCCCAGCCAACAAGTTTCCGAATTTGGATTGCGTTTTGCGCAAGTGTAGTAAGGATGATCGACACAGGGGATCTTTAATTAAATATCTGTTTGAAGCCCTTGGCCTTGATGTTTTTCCGTCCCTCCAAACCTTTGTAGCGCATTGTGCAATGGAATATTTTCGACATGGGTTTTTCATATACCTAGGATTCATGTCTGAATGAATACATACACAACCTATAAATATACGGATTTTAGTATTACCATTTTGTCGCGTTGTGCTTATCAGCACTCTCCTTGTTGTTAACGAGAGCGACAGTCCGGTGAGGTCTACTACAACAATTTAAAGATTTACGACCCGCTGTCATACTTTTTTATCATAAATATCTGCAACCACTGACACCAGCCTCAGGTGTTTACTAAAAGGAGATCTGTCGCTCCATAAATGTTGCACTGTGTAAATTTGTACCGATTTGTTGAACATTTGGACCGGAGCTGATTTTTCTGCAGCTTTGCAATTGAACAAAATGTATCCTTCTCTTTCGATGAATGTGGGGAGCAAAACATTTTCAGCTCGCTTGCAAATCCATTTGTAGCATGCCGTTTGCTGATATGTACTGACCACTCCTTGCGCGCGGGCAGACCTCCGAAGTTGATGTACATGTGGCTGAGCTCTTCTTTGTATGTGCATAGTCGCACGTGCCACTGTGCTTGCGTACGTTTAGGCTTGTTCATTAAACGCAGCGGGACAAATCGACGCGATACAGGGATGCGCACGAAATGTTTGGAGCAGCAGTTCGTAACATTCCAAGCAAGAAAAGGTTGCCACCTTTGGAGGCTTTCAAAGGGAATAAGGTAGGACATATGCCCGTAAACTCATCACTGATGGCATTGTTGCTCGTACCATCGTCCCCGACTAGTGTGCTAGTGCCTGCATTACGCAGCGTAGACGCACACCAACACACTACACGAGCACGGTAGCCGAGGCAATTGTGTCATACGTAATTTTAACTCCTGGTCTTAATCGTTCCGTAATATTATGGTCATCACTGTTGTGCACATGCACTAGACTAACTTGCATTGGGTATTCGTGAACCCCTCCAAGAATGTAGTCGCATGCGTGCATCACACAGCCTCCTGATTGATAGAGAGCGAAGCTAGAACAGTGAGCGATAGATGGAGCTGGAGCCGTCACTCAGCAGGGTAAAATACAAAACCTTCACTCTGTCAACGATCAAGTTCTGCAGTCACGGAGTTGCCCTCTGAATAGCTAAAATGAAGACAAAAAAATGTATTTTCACCGGTACCAGTTAAGAGGAGTTGCAGTGGTTCATAAAAGTCGTATGTTTCATTGCTTTAAATGCTTGTTAAATTCCCACGTCGTTCATGGGTGTAATCCGTTCGAAGAAATGTAGTGATCGCGCTTAAAAGACTCAAGTGCCATTTACTCCCAACACAATCACGCCTAGCATCGGGAAAGCCGTGCTTTTACATGCAAAGGCACGAATAATGCATCAAATTAAAGCCAGATTACCTCCCTGGAATTCTGGGACACAATTATCGTATACACATAAGTAAAAGACTTCAACACGTGAGACGTGACGTACAGCGAGCCTCGGTAGCGAAGTTGGTCTCTTGCCACGCCTGGAGCTGTACCGAAGCTGACGCTGAAGCCGAAGCTAACGTCGCCCTTCCCTGCAGTGATGGCAAGCCTGCCGCGATGAAGAAGGGCAGCTGCGGCTTCCACCAGCGCGCCCACCTGCCGCTGGCACAGCGCAAGACGAACAGCATCCCGCCCAGCCTGCCTCACAACGGCCCAGCCGTCGTGACGTCATGGGGGGTGACGTCACAAGTGGCGCGTGAGTGCCGCGCAGAACAGAGCTGGGAGTGGTTTGAAATAAACCGCATGTGTGTACGCGTTTTCTTCGGACTTGGTCAGAGCAGCACGGAGAAAACACTGCTGGTGCTACTGTGCGTCATGGGGTCACATGTCACCATGTCATCCGACATGGTGCATGACACTTGCTCATGACACCTGTCACCTGGTGACACGCTCATCATGGCACCTGACATTCGCCGATATTAGATTATAGACATATGCAATTTCCCTCATTTCATTGGTGGGCCATAGCTTGAGTCACGCTACATCAGTCTCAGACTGCCGGCGGTCACGGCACATCAGTCTCAGACTGCCAGCGGTCACGGCACATCATTCACAGACAACCAGACGTTACGGGACATCAGGCTCAGACTGCCAGACGTTTCGGGACATCAGGCTCAGACTGTCAGCAGTCACAACACATCAGGGAAACCAGACAGCTACCCATCAGCAGGGTGTCAATTTGCATTATTTTATGAGGCAGCTGGATCCTCAATATTGAGTTACCCATGACACAGGTCGTGTATCGCCTCGGGTTATGTGGACCATTGGCCAAGACTATAAGGGCCCTGCATGGAAAGCGTCAACAAACAGGCTCGGTAATTCTTCGGGCGCACCACTGGCCGTCAACATGAAATACATTTAAAAGGTTGCGTTAAGACGCTATTGACAAGTTCAATTTTTTTAAGTGTGCGTATCACACGGCTGGATCTGCCAGCCTGGATCTGGACCTGTACATTCCACAGCACTAAACTTCCGGTCCAAATCCAGCGAAACTCAAGACATTTCATGATTGCAGCTCAATTTCCAAAACGTGTGTCCCCAGGTCACTCAAGATGTCGTGGCATCGGTCTCGAGGTCCACGTATGTTACAGTGATGTTAGCTCTTGTCCTTGTTCTGTATCAATGTCAGTAATGTTACAGTAAAGTTTCAGCCTCATCTGAAAGGCTGTGGCCGGTGTGTTTCGAAATATGTGGCAGTGTTCTCTCACCAACATCACGGAATTCGCCACTTTGTGTTTAGACGGTACTTTCAGATTACGTGGAAGAAGGAAATCGTCGTTTGCGGCAAAAAGGATGTCACTTAATAATGCGCAGTCGTACGCATTTGGGTCAAGTATTTTTGCAGGCTGGTCTGGTAATATTTTGTATTGCTGATGAAGAATTAACCCACATAAATTACCGTTGCCTTGTAAGGTGATATGCAGTCATTCAACGACAAATTTTGAGCGACGTCGGCGCGCAATGACGGCAATTTGAAGTTTGCATAATGGCTGTCTTTTTCATTACACATGCATTTTCTACATCGCATTACTACAAGCTCTTCCTTCTTGTTGTTTTTACAGCACACTTTGATGCATCAAATTGAAACAGTTTGCCCCTGGCTTTAATCCCACACAAGAAAACGCCAATATTAAGTGTTGATGCTACGACGTAAGGTTGCGTTGAAGAAATAAGGTGCAACGTATCTAGTATCAGCCTAAAAATTTTGTGTACCGCTCGCACGTCACACCACTATTGATCTCAAATAAAGTGGGTTGACAGGAGGCGTTAAAACCTAAATCCAACACCAAATAGAAAACGTGAGTGGAGCGTGTAATTTCCCCAAATGATAGGCCCCAAACCCGCCAGCTGAATGAGTTGATATAGCCGGATGTTTACCGACCCATAAAACCGTACGTTCGTTGCATTTTGCAATGCACTCACCAGCACCAGAGCACTCCTCCCACCTCTCCAGTAATAAAAAGTCATGTTTGCTCACTGCAAGAGCCGCCAGCTAAGACTCGCAACAGCGGAGAAGATAAACAAAGCAATAAACTTAACACACGCAGGGACATAAGACACGCAGAGGCTCGAGAGGTTAAACTGGAAAGCTCTGGAGTAAGAGGTTGACTTTAAGTCGTACATGGTCTACCCCGTCCGCGTCTCCAACCACTGAATATACTGGCTGCTGCCCACGGCCGCTATTGAAGAACGCTTTTGGTCTTTAGAAGAACGCTAAGAACGGCCTTTACCTTCCGATCATAGGGGTCACGTGCTTCTAGTGCCCTCCCCATTTGGCCCCCTAAAGTGGCCTCTGGGGGGAGCCTTCATCTTCCGATCAAAAGGGGCGCGTGCCTCCAGTGCCCTGCTCTTTGGATCCGCCCCTGAATGTCTACTGTGCCGCTTAGATCAAGAACTATTTGATATATGGTACAAATATTAGAAATGTCAATTACCTTCGCCA